CAATCGCACCATTCGTCCAGTGTTATTACGTTGTCATTTCCAGGCTCCGTATCTGCAGTGTTATTTCCTATGACATCGTAAACGGAGTGCAGATTTTGTGCGGAATGGAACTATGTTCGGAAAAATATTTATGCACTGCGCAAGGGTAGAGCGAAACGAACAAGACGAGGAGTGAGGGCGTGGAAGGACGAGGGGGAGCGCAAAGCGGAACGAGGGAAAGAGAACTCGGCACTTTTCGAGATAATGCAACGACCAAAAGCTGCTCCTATATTTCTACATCTTTTGTGTTGTAACAGTTGCACAAAACGTAAATTGTCGAGACCCTGTCTTATGCGTATTTGTATTTGTGTTCCGAGCGCGTTTTATTCCGGCTTTTCAACTCAAGAACCAGAGAAGCTAAAAAGCTGTAAAAAATTTTAGGAGAATATCGCCAATCCGCTTATTAACTTGTAAACTCGAGTTCACCTCCCGCCTATGCTGTCTCACGTACGGGCGCATGAAAGTTTTGGGGCGAAAGCATTCACTCAGGAATCAGGAAAGCAAGGAAGTTGAAATTTTAGCAGAATGTTCCCCACTCACATGCGACCCAGCAAATTCAAATTCAGCCTTAACATACATCTAACTCACAAGTAAGGCCCTCGCGCATCCTGAAATAGACAAAGTTTTAATTTCAATAAGCGAACCACAACGATCCAAAAATGCTCTCAAGCATTTTTCGTTTGAATCGCTCTCCAACGGCGCCAGTTCTTTCAAGGTCAGCTCACCATCACTGTCACCATCCCACTGCTGGAACATCCATGCAACATCCATACGACACGCCTTCCTGTGTTCTACAGTGACATTTATTTTACTGACCTTAAAGTCACAGTTCATTGAATCGGGTTATGACATAAACGTTGACGTATTTTACGTGGTGCTCTTCACCAAAATAGCACTATTTTCACCAAATTAGCTCAAGTTTTGGATCTACTTTGAAATCAAATTTTGATATCAAAATTTTTCGTAAACAAG